GGATGCACATGTGTGTACACATGCACGTGAGTGCAGGCCTCTGGAGGCCAGTGACATCAGATTGATCTAGGGCTGGAGTTATGGGTAGTGTGAGCTGTCTGATGTGCATGCTGAAAACCAAACTCCTGACCTTGGAAGAGCAGTTCCTGCTGTTAGTACTGAGCCAGCTCTCCAGCCCCTTGAATATTTTATACTGAAACACGTCACCATTCTTTGTGAGATCAGCTCCCATGATGCTTGTTCTCGCTTATGAGCAAGCACAGTTCTGGCTGTGTCTAGGAGGCCGTTTCCCCTTTCTGGGTGTTGTGGTCACAGAGATGCCAATGTAAACAACACAGAAGATGGTATTCTTCCACCCAGATTTCAAAGGAAGGCCTGAGGTGCAAGGCAGTGTGTGGTAGGTTAGGATCCTTGCAGCATCTCTCAGAGCCGCACGTGAAGCCATGGGGCCGAAGCCTGTCTCACTGGAGACCTTGGGGTGTTAGAGAAGCTAATACAATGGAATGTCTGTGGAAGAAAGCCTGAAGGGATAACTAGAGCCGGTCCAGGAGAGACCGTGTGGTTACATACAAGATAGAGGAGTGGGTTCCTCAGACCTCCCATTGGTCCTGTTGGGAACAGAAGTGGACCCTGAGCCATTACATGTTGGGAGTATGTGACTTTCTGGTTTTTACAAGGGTTGACAATTGCCCTGAGTCTGCAGGGAAACTTAACTTTTGGCTTTTGAGCCTCGTTAGAACTCTTAAAGCTTTGGGGATTCTTGGACGTCAACTGGATGCATTTTGAATAATGAGATGGACATGAGTCTGTTGTGGGTTCAGGGTAGAATGTTGTTGTTTAGAGTGATACTCTTTGAGTGTCAGGTTAACAAGGAATGGACATCTTGACTTAGGATCTTCAGTGTCTGTTTCTTTATCAGTCTGTTCATATCCAGCAGCCATCTCTTGAGCACCAAGATCCAGGATCTGTCTTGGGCCAGGAAAACTGAGGCACAGCTCAGATATCCATGTTACACATTATCCAGTGCATTCCGGGGTGCCTTGTGGGGCCCACATATGGGCCAACATGTCATCTATGAACCAGAAGCTCACCCAACCATGCTTGTTCCTTCCGAAATCTACTGGGGATCACAGCCTTGCACATTAGAACTGTCAGCATTTTAGAGACCATGGCCTCGTAGTAGAGTTGATGTTAACTAGCTGGCATTTTCAGTAAATGAGGCCAAACTTCATTTAAAAGTGTTTGCATCAATCTTTTCCATTTTATTCTTCCATTTTTAACAAGTTGTGCTCGTAAACAAGGGGCCAGTTACAGATATAGTGAGTTCTGGATTTTTGTTTCGTTTCGTTTTTTTGAGACAGGGTCTCTCTCTATATCCCTGGCTGTCTTAGAACTCACTCTGTAGACCAGGCTGGCCTCAAACTCAGAGAAATCGGCCTTCCTCTGCCTCCCAGGAGCTGGGATTAAAGGCTGTGCTGTCACCACTCTGCAAATTCTAGATTTTAACACAAACCCTTCCTTTTCCTCTTCTTTACCCCTCCCATAATGTAACTGTCTAGAGGCCAGGGAGGTGCTCTGGGCCATGACCCCTCTACACACACAGTAATTTTTCTGCCACCCTACCCTTCACCATGATCTTGAAATCTCTCATCACCCTACCTAAGAATTCCACTTCACTCTTGATCTGGCCAACCACGTTGGAAAGGCAGCATAGCTTGGCCTCAGTACCCCCCTGAGCAGTGTCTGGACTCAGTTCCTGCTGTGTGTCTGGGACACACAACTCCTGTCTGTGCCCTGATTTGTAAGACAGAGAACAATGTGCCTGTCTCCTGGGGCTGCTTTCCAGGGAAGCTCAGCATCCTTGTCTGTATTTGTTGAGAGGTATCTACCGGGGACCAGCTCACATGGACAGAGGCCTGGTCCTTCCTGGAGCTGCTCTCCCACCAGGTCTCTGAGCTCTGCCGAGCTCCAGTGCTTCTGCAGTGTAGCTGGTCCTGGGCATCCAGGTCATGGGCGGCTTTGTGGACTCTCCAGAAAGCTTCGATTTCTGCTCCTTTTTTACTTTCTTCTGGAAACAGCCAGCTTGTCTTTGGCAGACAGACTGTCTCCTAAAGAGGACAGCTGTTTTGAAGGCACAGTGCTATGAACCCAGCATCTAAAGAGTATTGTCCCAGTGAGGCCGGCAGCCACAGTTCCTAGACTCCTGTCTCTTAGCCATTCTGTGCTTGACTGACGGGTGTGATCTAAACCCACATTCTGATTCTGGGCACATCTTTTCTTTGTGTGCACTGTCAGTGTTCTGCAGCAAGTGTTCTTGATATTAACCTGAGCCAAGGGAGCTTCTGTGGCCACCAAGGCCGTTGCTCATGGTATGAGGATGATCTATGGGAAAGTACCTCTCCATATGCCAGGGCCTCATGCTGATCCTCTTGTGAGTCTGGCCACTGCCCAGCTGTTGTCCACTCTGGTTTTTATGGAGAAAATCCAGAAGAACTCAGCCTGTGAGCACCTTCTCTCCATCCTCTCTGAAGTCTTTAGATAAGTGTTTGCACAGAGACCTGCCATGAAGCCACAGCCAAATCAGGAGGTAGTGAGTGGCATGGCCCGGACGTGCCTCCATGTGAGTGGCACCTGGCCAGGGGAGGTTGACGGTCTCTGATCCCTGTGCCCACTTGAGCAGAGTGTGTGTGGTGCCAGATTTCCCTGACTCCTCCAGAGACATTTTATTTCTTTTTACTTATGTGTTCATCTCCAATCCTAAATCGGCATAGACACACAGGAAATTGGTGTTCAGTTCAACAACAACATGAGGCATGTGGCTGCAGTAGAGCCTGGACCTCGTGGGTGGGGTGCCTCCCAGTTTTTCTCCTCTCTCTTCCTCTTTAGAAGCCAGCACGTCCGAGCATAGTGAGCGCTCAGCTTTCTAAAGTTCCTGATGTCTGTTGGGTGGATCAATGTCACTTTGATGCTTTTATAGGTTATAATTCCAGTGCTTGGGACAGCAAGGTGGGAGAATCTTGAGTCTAAGATCAGTCTGGGTTACATCAGCAAGACCTTGTCTCAAAAATAAGCAGGCAGGGGACCCACAAAAATGGCTCAGCTCAGAGAGAGAGAGAGAGAGAGAGAGAGAGAGAAACGTGCATGCTTAAATAAAGAAAAATGGGGGGGCTGGAGAGATGGTTCAGCGGTTAAGAGCCCTGGCTACTCTTCCAAAGGTCCTGAGTTCAATTCCCAGCAACCACATGGTGGCTCACAACCATCTATAATGAGATCTGGTGCCCTCTTCTGGCCTGCAGGCATACATGTAGGCAGAACACTGTACACATAATAAATAAATAAATAAATAAATAAATAAATAAATAAATAAATAAATAAAATGTAATAATAAATGTAATAATAACTAGGCAGGCAATGTGCTGCTATGATTTCCTGTGGCTCTACACCAAGGACATAGATGGCTGCATTGTGCAGTAGTTATATTTCCAGTATTTTGAGGACCCTTTACACTGTTTTCCACAGTGGGTCGACCAGTGTTACATTTCCATTGTACCATATATATATATATGTATGTATGTATGTATGTATATGTGTATATATGTATATGTATATATGTATATGTGTATATGTATGTATGTATATATGTATGTATATATGTGTGTATATATGTATATATATTTTTTTTGAGCTGAGGACCAAACCCAGGGCCTTACGCTTGCTAGGCAAGCGCTCTCCCACTGTGCTAAATCCCCACCCCTGTACTATTTTTTTTTTTTTTTTTTTTTTTTTTTTGGTTTTTTCGAGACAGGGTTTCTCTGTGTAGCTTTGCGCCTTTCCTGGAACTCACTTGGTAGTCCAGGCTGGCCTCGAACTCACAGAGATCCGCCTGGCTCTGCCTCCCGAGTGCTGGGATTAAAGGCGTGCGCCACCACCGCCCGGCTATATTTTTTAATAATTCTGTGTGTTAAACAGTTTCACAGTATAATATGAATTTGCTGTTGTGCATCACATTGGTGCTCAAAGAGTTTGGCTCTTGGAACATTTCAGTTTCAGATTCTGATTGGGAAACATTTAATTCCCTCTAGAAGAGAAGCCCTGTGCCCCCTGGCAATCACCCTCATTACCCTCTGGTCTGCCATCGCTAGGGACCCTGGAGTCTCCTCCTACAGCACAAGAGCCTCTTACTGAATGTGGCCCTCAGCGTCTGTCTCGCTTCCCTCTGTGCCTATCTTTAGGTTCACCCATGTTAGTGTGGGTGGGTAGGCCACATCTTCATCACTTGGTGGGCGTTTGTGTTGTCCCTTGCTGGCTGTGAGGAGTGAGACTGCTTCCTGAATTTGCGTCTCTGGGGCATCTCTGTCCCTGGGTGTGGAACAGTTGAAGTACACTGTTTCTTTCTACAAATTCCAGACGTTTCCCGGAAATTGCCCCTTCTCTGGTGATGCCGGGCAGTGGTGGCGCTTGCCTTTAGTCCCAGCACTCGGGAAGCAGATGCTGGTGGATCTCTGTGAGTTTGAGGCCAGCCTCGTCTACAGAGCGAGTTCCAGGGCAGCCAAGGTTACAGAGAAACCCTGTCTCTAAATAAACAGGAAGGACTGGTGATTCTGAGCCACCCTTTGCCTTGTGTTACCTGATTTTGTCCTTACTGTTTTGAGACAGGACAGGATGGCCTCAAACTCAAGATCCTCCTGCCTCAGCCTCTTGAGTACATGGGTCACTGAGTGTGTCGCCTTATCTATCTAACCAGCTGATGTTTTGACCGATGTCCTCCCAGGGGACATTGTTATGAACTTTGCCTGGCAGTGAGGTTTGTGGAGAACTTTGTCACTTGCCCAGAATGTCACCTAAGGCCATTTTCAGATGCTCCTGAGGAAGTCACAGCATGCCACAGCCCGCTCCCGCTGACTGGAACCCTTGCTGGTGTGAGTGGGAGGACTGATGTCCAGGTGTGAACACGCTCTCTTCCTCCAGGTCTCACCAGCCGTGTGCCCTTTTCTGTGCAGGTGTCACCATGAAGCTCATGGATGAGGTGGCTGGGATTGTGGCTGCACGCCACTGCAAGACCAACATAGTCACAGCTTCCGTGGATGCAATCAATTTTCACGACAAAATCCGGAAAGGTAAGAGAGCTCTCCCCGTGAGAATGGGGGCGGGTAGCACTTTAGAGTCCTGGGTGCTTGGTCCCTGGAGCTCTTTCCCTTTGTGCTCACACCTGGGGTCTGCCTGTGTGCACAAGAAGCAGGGAGACACAACTGTGTGCTTTGTCCTTTACACACATCCGTGAGGCTGGTGTTTATTGATCTGATTTCAGCTGGAAACTCTGGGATGACAGAGGCTTTTGTCCCTGAACTCCAGCATTAGGATCCCTGGGATGCTCCTGCTTCAATAGCTGCCACCAAACCTTATAGGTTTCCTTCTTGTGGAATAAGAGGTGACCCATGGCAGGATGGACAGTGATGGCAGGACAGTGCTGAGGCGCCTCAGGCGCTCCGTCCTTGGCTAGCCCTGCTCACCTTCCTTGAGGGTTTTCACAGGACGGAGATGGAATTGTGCAGCTGCAGCTGGTAGGGCAGGTTCATCCGCCTTGTTGTTTCAGGCAGAGGGTGAGTCCAAAGTTGGGCCTTGGCCCTGGGATGCTGCACTGTGAGAGCAGCTCATGAGAGGGGCAGTGGATGAGGCTAGGCCTTGCTACAGATTATTGATTACAGACTAGGAGCCATACAGTTTAAGCCACTTCACTGCCTTGCACTCCTGGTTCTGAGGCCAGAGCCTTGTGACCCTGGGTGCTCCCCAGCACCTAGTAGGGGGGCCACTACGTGGTGGATGGAAGCACTCTGAGATTGGGCAGATGCAAGACCACCCCCTTTGCCATACTGGAAGTAAGTGGGCTTTCCTGCTGTGGATGTGGGGCTGCCAGTAAGGAGAGCCAGCGTGACGTGGTTCCCTCTGCTTCCAGGAATCTGTCTTGATTGACAGGTATTTGCCGCCAACACAGACAATAGTTTCGTTTTAACAGGTGATGGTGACAAGTGGCTCCTGTCACTTTAGCTTGCTGCTCGGGGCCTTGTGTGTCAGAAGCCTGGAATGCTGTGCTCCTTGTAGCTCATTCCTTGAGCCTTCAGGAAAGGAGAGTCCTTTTTCTAGAGTTCCTGCCTGGTGACATGGCTACTCAGCACTCCATTGTTAAATATAAACCCAGACCCCCCGTGGAGAGCAGGCTCGTGCACCACAGAACTGGTCCCGCTCAGCCATCCCTCAGTGGCCCTAGAACAGTGAAAAAGCATCCTGGAGAACAGCTTTCCTCCAGGTCCACCCAGCAGTAGACATATCAATAAAGCCTTGCGTCAGAGAGCCCTTAAAGGAACTACACTGTTCTCAGAAGGAAGGCACCAGAGCAAGACCCCCAATTCTTCACCGTTGGCCTCCTGCATGGTCAGGAGCTTGGCAGGGGCCGTTCAGGAGGCGGTGGGTCTGGACTGGAGGAATGGCTGAGAGTCATGCAGCTTGTCTAGGGTCGTTGCTGTCACCAGAGGATGTGGGGCTGCATTATCTGCAGCAAGTGTCCTTGACAGTGGTCTGACACACTGCTCTGCTGTAGCTTCCTCAAAGGGGTGGGCTGGGGGGGCCTGGGGACTTTGTGCAGAACCTCCTGGGATGTCCTGGTCTTTGTAGCTAAAACAGTGTGGTAGTGCACATCTTTAATCCCAGTACTTGGGAGTTCAAGGCCAGCTTAATCTGCATAGTGAGTTCCCAGCCGCTCAGGGTTGCATAGTGAGACCCTGTCTTTAATTTCAAAAAGAAAAGTCTGTGATGTGACGGCCCTTCCCTAGGGCCCCCTCCCTCAGTGGCTGCTGCAGCCTTGTCTTTGTCCTTGTACCGTTACAGCCCTCTGGCCTAGAGACTTCTGAGAGAGACATTTGGCTCCTCCCAGGGAGCGGCAGATGATGGCTGCTTGCTGAAATGGGGTCTTGCTTGGGCTTTGAAGGAACTGAGGCAATAACAAAATAACAGTTGTAGAGTCTGGCCTACTTCTGTGCCAGAGTCCTCAGGCTTTTACACTGTCACCTTGTTTGTTGTTTCTAACTAGATGTCCCCTGTGAGGTCCCCGTGTATGTCCTTTTACACAGGAGCCATCCTGGGTGTGTCCAGGGAGGAGGGTCCCTCTTCAGGTGGCACAGGCTGTGTCTTCCTCACAAATGTGGTTGTGACATTCCATCTTTGGTTCCTCAGTACCGAGGCCTCTGCTTCTTTAGACCAGTGCACTCTACTCTTCGCCAGAGGCGCAGGGGTGGCAAGTCCCTCCTGCCTCTGGGGTTTGTGGTGATGCGGTCCAGTGTGTCAGCCGCCATGAGGAGGGCGGGGCTGACAAGCTGGTTCTGATCAAGCTGCTGAGGTCACTTTAGCTCGAGGCTGTGGCACCTCTTGGGCCACCGTTCCTGTGCTTGTCTTTGCCTTACACCTCAGCTCTGGCATGGAGGAGGCCACAGGGGACAGTTTTGCCACCTCCACAGAAGAGGTGTGACATGCATCAGTGTGTACAGGATAAGGCAGCGTCTACAGAGCCCTGGGAACCTTGCCTGCAAGACGGGCCTGGCACAGGAGGACTCTGTGAAGGAACGTTAGCTCCCTGGGGCTGCGGCGTCTGATGCACACAGACTGGGATGCTTAAAATGACAGAAACGAAGTCTCTCCTGATTTTGGAGGCTAACATCTGAGTCCAAGATGTCATCAGAGCTGCACACCCTCTGAGAACCATACTGCCTCCTCTGGCCCCCTGTGTCCTTGGCCACACGCCATCTTGTGGGTCTGTTTCTCAGAAGATTTTTTGGTCACTCAATAGGATGTCCATCAGAAAGTTTTAGCAACAGCTTTACGTGGTCACAGTACTGTCCCCAGAAGGTCAGAAGAGAATGTGTGAGTTTGAGCACAACAGGATATGCACTAAAATACAGTTAGCTGCATCTGGGTTTATAAATATAGGCTGAGTTTTCAGAGCCAGACTTTCCATGTGGCCACTCGGGCTACTAGTTGCCTCTGCTCTTGGCAGACTAGCCAACTTGTTTACGAACTTGGTTCTTTGAGGATGACTCTTCACTCATACTGAGAACAGAGAGGACACACTCCATCCCACCTGTGGCTCACAGCCTCCAGGGCCACCTGCGACACCCTATGTTCAGGCCGCTCAGTCTGGCCTCCTGGTATACCAAAGGCCAGCTGCCACCTGTGCACACTAAAGGTGTAGTTGAGTTAACTCTCCAGTGGCTTCATCCACACACTAGATTGGTGTCCAGCCCTGTGTCACTGACCACTCCTGTGTCACTAGCCCCTTGCCCAGGAAGAAATGAGAAGGACAGAGATCCAGCTCCTTAAGCAATGTTGGCCCAGCAAGAGCATCTCAGGCTCTCCATGCCAGTATCATGGATGCTGGGGACAGTAGGAGCCACGAGCCGTGACAAGCCCATACCTACTCTTAGAGGACCTGCTATGACCATACCGAGTTCAATGAGGATCTTGGACAGCACACAGCATGGAAGCCTGACGTGGACAGCAATGCCTTTGCTCAGTACAAACAAGAAACCTCAACCATATGAACATAATGTATCCCATGGGTTACTGTCTCCCTTCCCCCCTCAGTTGAGACATGAAATTCCAACCAGTTTCCTTGAAGAGATGGTTTTTGGCAGTGCACTTTTCTTGTAGATAGCCAGTCTTCCAGAGGGACCCTCCCAGAGGCTGCAGTTTAATGTCACCACAGTTCACTGTTCTGTGCACTTGAGACAGTTCTGTGCCCGGCTCTCTGGTGCACAAAACACGGAGCTCTTTGTAAACTTCCGAGTGCTTAGCAGGTCTCAGGCTTGGTAACAGCTATTTTTCTTTATTAGTTTGTTTTCATTTCCAATCCCTGGCATACAGTTGTAATCTAGCTGCTGCTGCCTGGGGAGTGATGTTGTCTTCAGGGGAGTCAGCTGGGGCAGCTGCCAGCCTTGTGGGGTACGCTCTCCAGGTGGGCTGTCAGTGGCTTCAAAGCAGACAGCTCGCAGCTCAGCCCACTTGATGCGTTTGCCCTGGACATTGGTGGCTTCAGGGTCAGGCCGTGCTGAGTGCCTTCCTATGAGCCGTCTGCAGTTTGTTATCTCAGGGTTCTAACCTTCAACTTGAGAGGTTAAGGAAGCTGCCCATAGCCACTGGGGCTCAGGCGTGGTTTTGGTGACCCCTTACAGGACACGGAACAGCAGCTGCAGGGTGGATATGGGTGAGGGGTGCTACATGTGATCTTCACAGGTCAAATGCAACATCATCTACCTTTGATGTTCACCTTGGATGTGATCTGACTTCAGCTGCTTCTCACATCTGAGTAGTAACTTCTCTCTTCTGAGACTTCGTGCAGTGAGTGGTTTAGCCTAAGAAAAACACTGCTCTGTCGTGCCCTCATCAGCCTTTACCAGGGTCCTTTTCCTGTTGAGTTTGGAGAGCATCAGGGGTGGATAGTTGAGTCTCCTGTCTCCAGCAGCTCCCTACACTCCATTCTATTGGCTTTGCTTAAAAACAAAACAAAACTACAAAAAACCCTTTCTTATATATTTTTTAAACTCTGTGTGTGTGTGTGTGTGTGTGTGTGTGTGTGTGTGTGTGTGTGTGTGTGTGTGTGTGTTGCCTGCATATATGTGTGTGCATCGTGTGTGTGCCTGGTGTTTGCAGACTGGAACAGTTTGGATGGTCGTGAGCCACCATGTGAGTCCTGGGAACTGAATCCAGGCTCTCTGCAAGAGCAGCAGGTGCTCTAAACTACTAACCACCTCTCCAGCCCCTGAGCTTTCACTGCTGTGCTGCCCACAAAATAGTCCCTGCCCACACATGGCTATTCAGAGTATAATTAAAATGAAAATTAAAGCTGGGCATAGTGGGATGTGCTTATAGTCCCAGTGTAGCCTGACCAACACAGTGAGGCCATTCCTGAAAGGCAGAAAGACTGAAGTCCAAGGCAGCCTGGGCTGTGTCCTGAAACCTTGTCTAAAGAAGAAAGACCAGAAGGGGGACGGCAGGAAAGAAAGAAGAGGCAGGGAGAGAGAAGGGATGAAAAGTGCCGATCCTCAGTTATCCTCAGCCATCTCAAGTGCCAGAGCCCTGTGTGACAGGGGTGCAGGGCAGTGCAGATGTAGACTGTTTCATTATATAGCTAGCACATTATGTCCAGCCTTTCAGTTCCAGATACCTGTAACTGAGCATGGATGGCCCAGGTGTCACGTCCTGGCATGAGCTGTGGTGTTTGCTTACCCACCAGGCCAACACCCTAGGCAGAGGGACAGCACTGCAGGGGCTGTTGGCACTGGGGCTGACCTGCTCCTCCACCAGCTTAATATGTCTCCACTGATGTGTCAGAGACTTCTTCCATGTAGTGCCGTGTTCCGCAGTCTGGGTGTTGAGGCCTCTTTGCTAACAAGTGTGCCAACACCTATCCATAACCACAAGGGTCACTGTGAACCTAGACTCTCCCATTCTCTCTTCACTTCGCCCCATGTGCCTGGACATTCTGGGGACTTAGAGAATGGTGGAGCATGAAGAAGGGCCCTGCTTCCTCCTGGGAGAGGCAGGTGGGTAAGAGGTGGGGAGATTCCAGGGCAGCCATTCAAAGGATGGCCTTTGAGTTGAGGAAGGAAGTGGAAGGAAGCATTGGCTAGCAGTGTTTTGATGGAAGCCAGTGCCATGCTTCTGAGCCACTCAGTTCAGGCCTGTGCAGTGTCTACTCCAGGGTAATGGCAGGGTCTCGGGCTCCCCTGGGCTCTGGGGCCTGCAGGGTGCTAGGTCTCTGTGGTCAACTGCCCATGTTTAAAACCCTTCTGTAGCCCTTGTGGGTCTCTTTGTTTACTCACCACCTAATGGGGACCCCTGCTTTGCCCTTAGGCATTCCAGACTGGGAGACAGGTAGGTGTTGGTCAGATCTGCAGTGGAACATGAAGGCTAATAGAAGGAGTGCCATGGAGGAGGTGGGCTGGTATTGGCAGCATCCCTGGAGGAGAGGCACAGGGTGAGCTAGGCAGCCATTATAGGAAGTGTGTGGGATGGGGAGGCCATCGTGGAGTTTGGACCACTTGTTAGCTGCCTCTCCCCACCTAGTTGGATCTGGTTCCCCAGGCAGACTTTGACACTGCAGGGACTCTGGGTGCTCTGTGCCTCCCCTGTCACCAGAGCTGAGGATTTTCGACATGGGGTTTCAGTTTGATCCTGTTCTCTCAGTGGCCCAGTCAGGGGCCAGCTCCATAGTGGATTCCTTCCTCTATCTGTGGAGATTCCCCCTGAGGCTTGTGTGTGGCATGGTGATGTAGTTCTCTTGTGAGTGAAAAAGTCCAGATTTGGGGTGTTTATCGTGTTGCATGACATCCCTGGCTCTCCAGACCCTTCCATCTGCTGATCTTCTGGTCCAGTTCTCAGAACCAGCCACTTCTGACTTAAACTTGGAGTCAGAAGCTTTGGGCTTCCAACTCAAACATTACACCATGAGCAGCCAGGGTTTGGCTGTGACCCTTGGTAGGAAATGGGTTTTGTGGTTGACAGCAGAAGGACACACTTCCTGTTGTCTCTGGAATTTACAGTGTGTTTGGAGACCCTGGAATTGGCCTCTCAGACGGTGTGATATAGGTGGCACTTCACACAGTGGCCCTCACGAGCCTTGGACTTGGGGGAAATCTTGCCCGCTTTCTCTTTCCTGCGTCTCACCTGATAGCCCAGCTCTCAGTGGCATTTAGGAGAGGACAGAAGCATGGTAAGACCTGGGGTGACTAGTCTAAGCTTCTAGTCCTGAGCTGGTAACAGTCCAGGGTGTGGCCCAGGTGTGTTCACCTGTCAGGTGCTTGCATGTGACTGAGCACTACAGCTCGTACCAGACCACCTGTTGCTGACCCCCTGGCTCCTTCCTTCCTCCCAGAAATGGCCATGTCCTGCACTGAAGCGTCCTGTGTAAGTATGAAGTTGAATGTGGAATGGAGCTTTCTGGAACTTCTTAATGGAAAGCCCTGCTACCTCCAACGTCTTTCTCTCTGGCTGTCTCAGTGTGTCCTGCAGGGCCTGTCTTGAAGCTAGGATGCTAGATATGTGTTGTAGGGCCCTGCCGCCAGCACTGGTCCCTCCTGAGTAGGCTCTGTGACCCACGTACCCTGGCCCAGAAGACTGTGCTGGAGCTGGGAGGAGGGTTGTGGTCACACATCAGTCAGCAGTGGCAGCAGCCAGGAGCCAGCTTTTCCCCAAATCCTCCACAGGCCAACACCCCTGTGGCCAAACCCGTCATGGCTGGGAAAGATGACCCTTGGCAAGCACTAGACCCGGCACTGGGTCTTCTGCCTTTTCTTTCACAGTTCTCTGAAGGTCAGGTTCCTGTGTGTCCATTTGTAAGAGCAGAACTGAGCACCCTGAGACTAGAAACTGCCAAGGGTTGAGAAGGGCAAGGTCCAACAGTGGTGGGGTCTGTGTGGAAGGGTGGGTGGTGGCAGGGAGAGGCATTAAGCCCGGAAGCAGAAGGCCAGGCTAAAGTACTGTGTGGTATCGTGCACTGATGGTAGTATGCACTGGCTTAGAGTTGAGAGGGGTCACTCGGGCCATTTACAGAGACACTGACTGTGGACTGAGGTCATGACCACCTGACACCATGTTGGTGTTGAGAAGAGGTGAGCCTGGATACTATCCTGGCATGATGTCCAGCAGCTCAGAGGATGAAACTTCAGCAAACCTGACAGACAGTCACATGACCCCACCAAAAACTTGATGCCATGGCTTGTGCCAAGCCAACATAAAGATTGTAAGCCTCTGGGATATTCTTCTCTGGTGCTCAGAACATCACAGTGGGTAACTGTGTGGCCTGGAGGACAGGGAAGGCGGCAGGACTGAGCAGCCTCACCCATAGCCTGGCTGAAGCTGCCACTCCTGGCCTGTGTCAGTGGGGCTGGACCCAGTGGCGGCCAGAACTGCAGGAGACAGATGACTCACATCGACTAATAATGGCACACACTAATAGTTTGTTGTCGTGATGTCTTTGTAGTTGCTGCTGCCTGTGCTGCCTAACCCAGTGTCTAAACTGTCCTCAGTAACATGGGGTTCTCACTGACCTGCTCCTGCCTACTTGTGCCCCTGTGGTAGAGACCAAGCTGGCAACCACTAATGCAGTGGCTCCGTGTCCTCTTCAGGCTGCGTCATCACCATCTCTGGACGTATGACCTTCACGAGCAATAAGTCCATGGAAATTGAGGTCCTGGTGGACGCCGACCCTGTGGTGGACAACTCACAGAAGCGGTACCGGGCCGCCAGTGCCTTCTTCACCTATGTGTCCCTGAACCAGGATGGCAAGCCACTGCCTGTACCTCAGCTTGTGGTAAGTGTCCTCGGGAGCACTGTCCTGTCCTAAACAGGGTAGGACCCAGGCCTGTGTCATGGGCTGTGCTTAGGTTCAGTGAAGTCCTGCGAAGAGGTACCTTGTAAGCTGCAGGCTATAGGGTGGGCAGATGGGTCAGACCTCTCTGAGCTCATCACCGTGGTTGGCACAGTGCCCGGGACTCCTGGTATTGTGTACATTGTGCCGGAGTGGGGTCTTAGAAACATCTCAAGCTTTGTGTTCTCCAGTTCATCAGGGGACCTGGGAGGACAGAGGGGTGCGCTCTCTCAATTGGACTGGCATTTTATGTCACCTGATGAAAAGCAAGCTTCAGTTCTACACTTCTAGTGGCTCATGCAGATGAGGAGAGGGGTAGCCCACTGATGAACTGTGTGATCTTAGGCACATACCTTCTGTGTAGTGGTGACAACCATAGTATGTGTCACATGAGATAGGTAAGAACCTGAGTCTGTCCACAACTTTCTGGAGCCCTCCTCCCGACGGTCATCAGGTGAACAAGGAGATGCCTGAGAACATCAAGGGCAGGGAGTGGGGACACGTGGTAGTGCTGATCAGCAACTACAGGGTTAAGTTCCTTCACAGGAAGGCTTTGACCAGAGGCCTGGGAGTGGGAAGCAGGGAGGAACCATCTCAGGAGGCTGTGCAAGGCAGGGACATGCAGGAGCAGAAGGCAGGAGCTGATAAAAAAAAACCCAGGCCTAGGACCAAGTTCTTTCTGTTCCGTGAGGGCTTGGGGTCTCCAGGACTACTCACATGGGCACAAGATGAGGCGGCTTTAGTGCTGGGTGGGTGTTCTGCATCTTGACAGGGCTCTCAGTCTGTGAGTAGAGAAGGCAGATGCTGCTGTGGGCGTGGTCACAGACCCCTGCACAGAACCATGAGTCCTCCTTCCCAGCTACATGGTCAAGTGCATCCTGTAGCACCTTCTTTGGGGTTCCCAGGATGGTAAAAGTCCAGGGTGGGCTCTGGAAGATAGGCCTGGCTTTTTACCCCATGTGCCCTATTTCTGTTGAATCCAACCCCAGGGGTTGAGTCTGGGGACCGGGCCCATGACCTCCACTGATCCAGTGGAAAGCTGCATCCTGGGCAGCATAGGAGCTGTACTGACCCAAAGAGAGGAGGCACCAGGACAGGCAGGACCAGGCAGAGAGTGGGAGGTTCTGCTCCTGATGGTGTCCTGTGGGTCCAGGCACTCCACACTTGTTGAAGACGCTCTTGGCCCTTCACTGAGGTGTGCTGGGGCCCACTGATGTGTGTGAGAGCAGCTGGCAAGGACAAAGGAAAAGATTCTGGAGACAAATTCTCTGGACTTGGGTGTGCTTGGGAACCAGTCACCCATGCACAAGTCCTAGCCCTCGGTACAGACACATGTACTGCACACGGCTACACGAGTGTGTGCACTGCCCTCCTGCTCCCGCCTGTCCCCTACCCCCATTGCTAGCCATCTTCAAGCTCTTGACTATTTTTAGCTCCCTCCCCAGGGCCCTGCTGACATGGAATGCAGCCGATTGCTTCTGTGGAGGTGTTTCCTGGTGTGGGGAGGGCTTGTGTGCCAGGGTCCCCGCAGCTGCTGTCATGTCCAGGCTGACTGTTGTTAGCATAGGCCAGCCTGGCCTGGAAGCATGGCCCACACCTTCTGCCTTTCATCCTCCCTGTGGCAGTGCCCTCTGACCTTGGGGTGGGAATGAGACCCCGGCTTCTGACTAGAACTGTGGATAGTGGCCAGTGGGAAGGCATTGTGGGAGACGCTACCCTGGTGGTTCAGGATCTGTGGCTTCCTCGGCACCCAGTGTCTGCCTCTGCTGTATGATTTTTTTTTCTCCCTTTTTGGCCAAGGTAAGGGAAGTTCTTTCAGAAAGGTAAGAACCATATAGAGTTGGTGTTGGGCTGAGGATACCTCTGACCCCTTGTATAGGCAGCACTTGCCCCAGTTAGAGTGCCACACCCAAGACACCCTCCCACCCCCACCCCGCTCCAAAAGATTGCACTCTGTAAACCAGAGAATGCCCAACCTGGGTCTAAGGAGGGAGGGGGCACACAAAGCAGATTTGATTTATGTGTTCTCAGAAAATCTGGATTCAACTCCAGAACCAGCTGCTCTATCACAGAGTGTCCTAGCCCATGCTGGGTACACCTAATGCCTGGCAGGGTATACCTAGTGAATGGCAACTGGCAGGCAGGACCAGACCCTGCCTTACTCAGCAGCCATAAGGTGATGAGAACGTGTGATGTAGGTTCAAATGGAGACAGTGAAGATACAGGGTTGTGGCCAACTTTTTTCTCCTTCCAAATGAGGCTTGCTCATAGCCAGAGGAGCTCAACCAAGGGTCGGTGAAAAGTGCGGTATTTGGTCTTCTCAACTGTAAGGTGCCTCTTCGCCCAGCACAGCAGCTCGGATCCCTGGGGCAATAGGCCAGGTTTGCCAAAGACTTGCTGTGAGCCTGATAGGAGTCACTTTCCATGGCTATGACAGAACACCCGAGGAAAAGAGCTGCTCCTTTTCGTTTTTTGGGGGGCTTATGATTTCAGATGGTTCAGTCCATGGTGCCTTGGCTCTGTCACTGTGGGCCTCAGGAAGGTAGAGCATCCTGCACAGGGGAGAGTGTGGTAGAATAGACCTGCTTCTCTCATGGCAGCTAGACAGAGCTTGCAAGGGAGGACTACACAGGGCACCCTCCAAAGGGCATACCCCGTCAGCCATGTCCTCCGAGGAAGCCCACCTTTCAAAGATGCCACCGCTGGAGACCACATGTTCCCTATGGGATGATCCTCAAAACTGTCCTCAGCAGGGATGCTGCCTGCTTGGAAAGAGGGTGGCCACTGAGGCTAGGCTGATGCCACAGCCATTCCTCACCTCTGGGAAAGCTGGAAGGGCAGGTGGTCAGGGTCCTTGGTACTGGCCACAGAACATGGAGTCTTCACCACGCACCTCACACTTGTCATGAGTGGCACGTCTGGAGTTAGGAGATGTCATTGTCATCCTTACAGGAAGACCCTGAGGCAGGGTAGGACAGTGACTTTCCAGACGTCCTAGCTGTCTGTCAGGCCAGGAGAGGGTGGCTCACTGCTTCAAGACCTCACTGTTGAATCAGACCTGCTGATTTGGTTCTGGGAGTGTTGGCCTCAGTTCAGGTTCTAGGACAGACATCTGAAATAGGGCCTGCAGCCAGAGCCTCCAGAGTGACCGAGAACCTGTTGACTCTCCCAAACACTGGCTCTGCTCTGCCTGCTCCATGCACGGAACTTGGTATCAACCCCAGATGATTTCAGAACCACATTGCCTTTCAGTACACATTGCTTTTCCCAGGGGGCTGCACTGTACCAGCTGGTACTGACCTGTCTAGATGTTTAATCCCATGGCCTCTGTGATTGCCACAGAGGTTTTGAAATCTAGTTTCTCTCTAGCCTATCTATCCTGGGTTCAGCATAGACACCCAGAATGCACCCCCAGTTCCTACCCTTGTGACTTATTCTGCCGCTTTATCCCCCACCTCAGTGAATACATCTGCACAGTGGGTACAGAGATAGCCGCATAGTCTACCTCTGCTAGCCGTTGAGGTGTGACATGCGACAAGGGCCTGTCAGCCTTCTGCCCCAGCCCTGGAGCTGCCTCTGGGATTACCTGTCTGCAGTGTGGTGTCAAAGCTGTGTGGTCGTCGTCGTGGTGATGTGGGGTGGGGTGGTGGGTAGAAGAGCCCTTGGCTGTGGCTGTCCCCTCAGTCTTAGGGCCTTGGTTCCTGTACCATTACCAGCCATGCTGCTGCTCTCAGGTCCCTCTGTTTGGGACGCACTAGAAAGCCCCTCAAACCTTTGTGCTAAGGAGACAGGACAAGACTTTGTGGCAGTCAGCTCCCCTCCCTGTGGTCCCCAAGTCTGACCCCAGCCACACAGCAAAGAGGGGCCAGGGCAGAGGGGGGCTGCAGGTCCTGGCCCAGCACTGCAGAAGCACTGATTCCAGGAAACGGGCAGGAAGGAAGGTTCTCACGTAAGGCGCTTACCCTGGGGCCGGGAACAGGGTCTCCAATCTCTGTCATGGACACCTCAGTCCACAGGCTTTTGCAGGCTCTTGAGGGGCCATGTTCAAGCCTAGAGAATTCTAGGTCCACACACAGGACCATTGAGCACTTTTGTGGTTGGGATACTGTCATACTGTCCCTTGGCTGTCCGAGGCTATATATGTGCCTCCTTCATTTGCTTAGGCACAGTGTGGTTCTCAGTTTCCTTTGGCAGAAACAGGAAGCACAGCAGTTTGGTGCATCTCTTCTGAGAAGGCATGGGTACTGCCCAGCCTCAGGAGCAAGGCAGACCCCCACTGTGCCAGCTCTCAGGAATGAGTCACGGATGAGGACATCCAGGATATTCTCTGTCCAGTATCTCTCTGCCTCTGGGTGTGCAAGATGACTCTAATGATTAAAAATGCCAGACCCTTAGAGCTGACTGTTGGGAACATAGGGGCTTGTGAGCCCTGCAATCCCCAGAGCCAGTGATGAGTACAGGAGGTTGGCTCAGCTGAGAGGACACATCCTCCTCCCCAGGCCTGCCTCTGTCTCCATCCCAACCTCTTCACCCACCTCTTTGTCTGCCAAGCTGTAGGTGTCTCTTGAGGACTCTCAGGTCCAGGCTACCATACACACAGTGTGTGCTGAATTGTGCCTGGCTGTCTGCTGAGGTCCCACCGAGGGGGTCCACTCAGGCCAGTCCAGTGGAGTACATTGGAACAGGGGCCTGTCACCTCCAGTCATGATGCACAAGAGGCATTGGCCCCAGAGCAGTGGAGGATCAAGGATACATACCCACAGTGTGATGGGGTGAGCCCTGCCAGCACAGGGGTAGGAGGGCAATCAGACAAGGAGGCCCATCATTCAGGTTTCCAGAAGGCATGGGAAGGAGAATGTGTCACCGCCCACTCACTCCACTGCCTCAGGAAGAAAGTATTAAGGTCAGGAGGCAAGGTGAGGCCTGGACCACTAAGACAGATT